GCCCCCCCCCCCGCACTTAATCCAGATCAAATTTTTAGCAAAAGCACAAAATACAAACTATTCCGAAATGTCACTTTAAATTCCTTAATAAAAACCGAGGCACTTGAAATCACTATGCCTGAGATGTGATTTTAATTAACTAAAGGTCGAGATTCACAAAGGTTTAAATATTGTGGCGATAGGAGAGGTAGATTATGTTGGGGGGGGGGGGGGGGGTNGGGGGGGGTGGTTGACCTTGAAGCCAGTTGTGATGATGGTCTCAATGTCCTAAATGACGCCCCTGGGGTCTTGACAGTGCGTTACAATGCGGTTACAAGCGATTACAAAAAATTTCAGTAGATGCGGGTATTTAGAGCTCATTTGTATTCTCACAACATTGAATCTCCAATTCGCCTGAATGCAGGAGTGAACTTGTACCACAATTTAATTAGCTTTAATACCTTGGGTTTAGTAGTTGGAGGGTCGAAAGAGCTTATATGTCGGTAGTAATTTTAGCTAATGACCAAGATCTAAATATTCGAAGGAGACGACTATAGTTAGCCTATTAGATCGGTGAAAATACCTCGATTTAACTCCATGCTCAGTAGTGTTAATTTTTACATGAGGTAGTACTATTTAAAAGCTGTCATGATAAGAATGAATTTGGTGAAATTACCTTCATCCGAGCCCCGGAAACATCCGATTTTCTACCTCACCTATTGTAATTTCAAGGTTGATATTGTCTTTTAGTTGTTTTGTTGGAGCTATTAGTAATACGGATTATTTCCCCTGCTCTACGTAAACATGGGGATGGAGATGGAGGGGGGGGAAGCTCGAGGGCTTGAAATCTTTAAGCCCCCCCCCATATTAGGGTATCTTGAACAGAGCGTCTTCATACGTATGCACCTACTAAAAATATCGTCCCCGAAAAGCACACAAAGCGTGTTCTTTCCGAGTTATCGATAATCAATTAATCATTAAGCAAATGGTAATAAGCCGATAAGGTATACCTGTAATGAGGTTATACCATGGACCAAACAAGATTTTAGTAACGACTACTTGTATCCTTTACCGAATTAGCATTAATCATTAACAAACGGTTGACTCATGCCCTTGCAGATTTGGGTGTTGGTTGCTACGTCATGGGGGTTCTAAGTTGAAAAGTGGAGCTTTAGAACAGACTGCCTTATTGCTGTAGTACAGAAGTGTAATGTGGCTTTCCGAATAAGCTTGACACTGCTTATAAAATTTGAGGTGGAGGGACGATTAAATTACTTAAGATCGAAACCCCCAAATTCGATTTTTCCCTCATTTTCATAGCGTGTGTACCCACCAACAAGATATTTTCCCTAGTTCACTACTCATGTTCAGTGAAGAATATTTCGTGGGTGAAAAAGAGCACGAAAAATAATTTTGGAGCAATTCTTATGAAAAAGAAAACAGAAGAGTAGACCATTCACATCTCTAGATGAGTATGATGAGCATCAATATCGTAACCTCTAGTTTGCGGTATTGTAAAACGCTGGAAAGAAGTGGATAAAATATATTCAGCAATAAAGTGAATATTTTAAGGACACAGTCTTTAGAAACTGAAAACTTGGGTCAAAAGTTCCTTTGAACTCAAACATGAAATGTATGAAATCTCTTTCATGCTTCGCGTGGTAATTAGTATGATATTTTGCCAGTAAAACAGATCCACAACTTCACAATTTCCCCCTGTCTATCTATCTATCAAGAAATTGATTCTGTGTAAAAAAAATTATCCCAACAGAAAAAAGCAACAACTTTCTACACTTTTAATAACAACATCGCTTCCACTTATTTCACCAAAATTGCTGAATCATTTACCACCCAATGTGCGTTTTTTTGTCACATGGTCTCGGTATAAATTGTGAATATCTGAAGGACTATTTTTCGCTTACCAATAATAATCTTTTTAGATTATTCTCGCATATTCCTGGTTAAAATTAACTATTTGGGCATTTTCAATTCAATTAAAAAATTTTTTTTCGCAGCGAGAGAATAAGCTTTCGGTTTAAACAATGTAGTCTGAAATTAAATTCGTTTCCGGTGTTAGTTAAATAGGAAATTAATGTCAAGATTTAGGGTGGTGATAATCTAACCAGTTAAGTTACTTCAAAAATCCTCCCAAGTTAACCTAATCTAATCTGTACAGCTTAGGGGTGCGCAATAGACTTACCTCCACGTGGTGTAGCCTGGGCAGCGTAAACTTATACGGCAAAAAAGTCTATCAAACCGGCAGTTGACTTCTGACTTCAAACTACTATGGCCCGACTATTTGTCATATTCGACCCCTTCACAGTACTCATCTTACCTTTTTATGCCTTTGTGTCTGTCTGTCTCTTTTACCTCTGTGAATCATTATTCTGTCTCCCATCTTGACTTTTTGTCACTTTAATGTTCCTCCTCCTCCTCTCTGTGAAGCCCCGAAGTCAGCTCCAGGGCTAATGATAACTGTCAAAACGCCTCCCATTTGATATAAATAAATAAATAAATCTGTACAGCTTAAAGCGGTTTGTTGCCTTATTAAGCCTTGAATTATGCTCAGTAATCTCTATGGTAAGGTCTCCCACTTTGGAATGGTTACCAGGGTTATCTGAGCTACCACAGAACTATGGAGGAAACAGACATAGCATGGATAAGTTTATTCGGGGTGTACATCATTGACACGGAGCTGAGTCATTAAAATACAATGAAGGGTTTGTTAAAGAATACTGGGACTATTT